TTTTTTTTAAATATATAGATAGAGAGAGGGTTATATATATATATATATATATATATATATATATATATATATATATATATATATATATATATATATATTTTTTTTTTTTTTTTTTACCTTTTTTCTCTAGTTGATGATCAATAATTATCATCAAATTATTATCAAACCTAAATAAATTAAATAAAAGTACAACGTCTAACTGCCCAGTCTTTTTTTTTGTCTGGAATTGCAGTAGTAGTTTTTTTTCTCCAAGGCGTCATAAAAGCAAGTCAAGTTGTCTCAAAGTTATTCACGAGTAAAGCCCTTTTTGTCATGCACTGACGACGTTTCTGCACGTGCTTGCAGATAAAAACTCACAGCAAACCGCATCTCCTTTAACTACCCATGCTCCTTCCCTCCCCTCCTACCCTCGATGTCCACTCCCAGCATTATTCTCATATACTCATAGACGACGTAGGACACGCTCACGGCCGGGACGATCTTTAGCAGGTTGGGGGAGATTCCTCGGTAAAGTCCGGCGATGCCCTCTTGCGTGACAATGTTGCGGAGCAACGACAGCATTGAAAGTTTAGGGGATCCTTTCACTGAAGCTGATTGGAGAGAAATATAGGAAAAATCAAGTTAGGAAAAAAAATATATATTATTTTATATATTTTTACAGAACATGAGAGATACAAGTATAAGAACTTTGGGTCTCCTTCTAAAAAGAAGGAAGTAGTTCAGGAATTACAGCCGAAGATGTTGAGTCTTTGGATTTCAAATATCAGCAGACAAACTGACACAACTACAAGATCTAAAGTATTCATTTTTTAATAATTTAATAGTTGATTAAAGTTAGTTGGTTTTGATTGTGTTCAACCCTTATTAAATTAAATCATTATTTGAAAACTGCTTTTTGCTTTTTGTGTTTCTTTCAATTTAATTAAATTCAGTTCATCTCATCTATTTAGAACTGGCCATTGTCTTCCTGTGCAGTTTCGCCTGAATACAATCTCGCTTGCAGCACAATCTGGGCTTTCTGTCCTTCAATTGCATTGCCTCTGGTAGATTTCTGACCAATCAGTGAACAGAAAGAGAAATAGTGAACGATTACGTCGATTTTCTGCACTGTTTTAGAATTGTAGTCTGTCTGTAGTTTTAGCAACCACAGCGGAGGAAGTGAACAAAGCCGTTCAGTCTGTGTCGGCCACACTTCCAAATATTGAGTTAAGATTAACATCTGCCTCGTTCAGAATATCCCTTCTCTTTTTGAGGTGGAAGACGGTGTTGTTTGCAGCACAGGGAATTTCCGGTAAGCTTCATAGCACTGAACCGGCGCGTTACGTGACAAACGTTAGCAATCGGGTAACATTTAAAACCTTAACACAGTCCACCCCTCCAGGAAGCAATCGCAGGAAAAAGACAATTTACAACAAAACGTCAATTCAGTCAAATCATACATCCACTCTAATTACATTTATAATGCAATTTGGCTGATATGAAACTATATTTGATTCTCTGAAACATTTGGTGGAATCCAGATGCCAGCAGCCGTCCTAACCTTGTGCTTGCATGCGTGTGCGGACCAGTGCCAGCGGGTAACTCGCAAGCATCCCGCATGTACTGGAGACTGCGCCGCATCCCAACAGCACCATCACTCCCGGGTCAGACAAGCCCGTGTTCCGGTTCAGCCATGAAAGCTTGAGCGTCTGTGGAAGACAAGAATGAGTGGGAAGTGAAGAGTCGGGGGAAATGCGCCACACCGAGAGCTGCGCGTCCCTCTGACCTCATACACGGCCAGGTCAATACCAGCATAAGGGACGATGCTCAGCATGTTGGGGACGTAGCCCTTGTAGAAGGCCGCGGCGCCTTCCCGCTGCAGGATCTGTTTGGCGCAGTCTGCTATTCCTGTGAACTGACCCGTTTTTCTGAGATTGAGCCGCGTCTTCAGCACCTGATACACAGACAGAGGGACTGAGATCATTCATTTATAAGCAACCTTAGCGTTTCCTGTTAGCACCGTCGGATGATTCGTATATGTTCGGCCCATTACCTCCATCGGGTAAATGATTGTCTGAGCTATTGCTCCAGCCAAAGAGCCGGCGACGAACCTCTCATGAAGCCTCAGAGTTCTTGTTTCATCATGACCGCGCATCACAGTTTTGATCTATGCAGAACACATGGAAGGCAAAGGTTTGGAATAAGCATCACTGTCAAACATTTATGCTCTGTGATCTTAAATAAACTCAAAACTAAAGGGAAATGTAGCTACAAGACTTAGATTTTATATTACTAACATCTTAGTTTCGTGCCATTCATTAGTTTGTGAGAGAAGAGCAATACCACTGCCTTGTTAATTAATACAAGTTAAATTTCCAGCAGTTAATTTTCAGAATGCAGCCTGTAATTATGACTGTCTGCATGCATCGTTGTGACCACATTGTATTATAGTCGGATTGAATTGGACTGTGGTTGATTGTATTTGTCTTGGATTGGCCCAGATTTACTTGTACTGAAACAGTCTGTTTAGTTTCATATAAGCTGACTTTGTATTCATAAAGCTTCTCAAGATGGGGTTTGTTGTGAATTTGTGCATCATAAATATCACAACCCACACTGAACTGAACTGAACTGAACTACAATAGAATAGAACTGATTGGATTAAACTGAACTAATCTGAGCTCTGTTGTATTGGACTTATTCAAATGAAAGAGAAGTTAAACTTAATAGAATAAAATCAAATGAATTCCAGATGACGATTGAAGTGAAAATTTGGATATCTGAAGCTTATTCGGGTCAGACTGTCATCTGCGAAAGAATCTCATTGTCTGTTGTTTGACTTTTACTACAATTTTGACCTTCTTACTGCTAGGTTAGACTTTTTTTCCTTTTAATGACGCACAGTGTATAATCCATCTGCTTTTGACTTACAAGCTAAGTGTTGCCATACGGGAAAACAAATCATTTTTAATGATAATTTAACATACAAGCCGAACGATACGACAGATCCAGCTCAAAACTCGTCCAACAGGTGTCGTAGAAGTGCTCACCTGTTCATAAGCGGAGAATTTGATGGCAGTCTCAGGAGCGATTTTCAGAACATTGACTCCGTTGCCTCTCCACAGAGACCATGGTCCTCCCTCGTTCAGCATGTACTTAAACCCGCTTAGAGCGCTGCCTCTAAAATCAGAGGAGCCGTGTACCTGTACAGAGAGGGAATAGTTAGGTATAAGACACTCCTTTTCTCATACATTTTACAATACTGCTGTTGGACTGACTTGTCTGAAGACTTTGAGGCGGTCCAGTGGAGCGGTTCCGGTTCGGGACACAGATCCGGCCATGACTCCCGCCATCAGCTGCCGCCACATGTAGCCAGATTTCTTCTGCGCTTCCGAAAACTCCTCTGGGACCGTCAGCTGCTCGCCTGTGTCCAATATCTACTGAGACCATAAATCGGGGAGCAAAGAACAAGCTGCACATTTCAAAATAAGGAGTTAGAAATAAATCTCAGACATTTGATATTTTGTAGTCTAGAGACCGACTGTAGGAACCACCTCCGTCACGTTCCAACTAACTGCGGCGTCTCTGTTTTTTTACAGATGTTCTTGTTCAAGTTCCGCAAGCTCGTTTACCATTGAACGCTTCCAGAACCGAGCCACATCCTCCATGTCGCTCAGGTGTTTGAACAGGAAGTAGTCGCGCCACTCACTCCAGTTAATCGTCATGGTGCCGTCCCTGTCCATGCTGAAGAAAAAACAAACGTATTAACAGGCACACTGACGTAGGCACTGCAGCCATAACGTATGATAGGAAAGTTTATTTCTAAAGGGCTGGAACGATGAATAGGATTCATTGTGATGAATCCATCATTGGAATAATCGTCAATTAATTTAGTAATCAATTAATCAATAACTTGAGTATATAGTAAAACAACACGTCAATGACCGAGTCAGCAAGTAATGTGGATGGGTGATCTGGATTTAAGTTTATTATGATCTTTTAGGGTATATGTTGGAATAATTATAAAAATGGTGAGATAAAGTATTTAAAATCTATTGTAGTGTTTTTTTTAAGACTTCATGGCTAAAATTGCACATCATTGCAGTCAAAGCACTACAAACTTAAACACTACACTTAAAAAACCGCCATAAAAAACAACCAATTATAAAACAAGCTACTTTAGGACTCCAGTTACTTTAAATAAGTAAACAAAGAGTAACTGTATTTAATGATATTTTAAAATACATTAATATTTATTACTCCTATCAAATAACTAACAGCTGTCACTACCAATTCATAGGGATTTTTCTACTTTTTTAATTAAAATTTTTACTTTCACTCAGAGAATGAGCTTGGATCCATCCATTTATTCATTCACAAAGTCCTTATCCTGGCAATTAGCAAACAAATTAGTTTTGCAAACCTAACTACGATAAAACAGGAGAGATTTAGCCTGACTTACCGTTGGATTTTGTGAAAAAGCCAGATTCTGTCTGTTTTTGAACGGTTCATAAATCTGGCTACAACTGTGTAGTGTTGTGAAGAAGAGCCTGGATGACCAACCTTAGCATAATCCTAGTGGCATCTTCAGGGCTAACATTCACACCGATGGTGTGCAGACAGTCCTGAATGTCTTCCACATCAATCCGACCTGCAGATATGAAGAGACAGCAGAACACAAGAAGGAAGTTGGGAGGTTTGGGATAAAACAACATGTTAAAAAAACAACAACACTGAGGTTCATTGTTCTTCCGTCTTAATCCTTTCGGCCACAGACCGTCTTTGTTTCTGTCCACATGGTGAAACATGACTTTAAGCTGCTTCTCATGGTTGTGAAGGTACTCGACAAACTCCTCGAAGTCCAGGACTCCGTCTTGGTTGGTGTCCCCAGTCTCTACAATCTGACAATGTAAGTGAAGAATTTAAATATATTATCTATCTATCTATCTATCTATCTATCTATCTATCTATCTATCTATCTATCTATCTATCTATCTATCTATCTATGAAATAAATATATATAAATAATATATTTGGCCATGTTTAATGAATGTATGCCCATAGTTCTGCTTAGGAGGAAAAGTCGCTGAAGGTTTGTGGCCCTGCTTACTCAAAGTAGAAGCAAAAAGTGTGGATGATAAGAGAAAAAAATACTTCAACACCTGTGCTGATGGGGCAAATGGGTCACACTTTGGATTGCCACCCTGCTTTATTGAAATATCCTCCCTAAAAAGCCTACATACAAATGAACCTAAAATACTAAAATATAACAAATTATTGGACAGTAAAACAAACAAAAAAATGGTACCTATAGGAACTGAACAAAACCTCAGAAATACAACCAGGACAACTTGATAATACATGAAAAAATACAAGGAGTACAACAGGGATAAAGGTTACCATTCTCAGCTTACAAGAGCAGCCTCCTTAGACAGAAATAACCACCACGCTGCCCTTCACGTGCCCACATGCAGAAACCTTCACAGACACATGGCCACACGCACACAGCGACTCTTCTCCTGTCGTGATTTTCATGTTTTCTCTAACTTTACATATTAAACACAAAAGCAGAGGAGGAAAACGAAACGGCAATACGGAGAAACGGCGAAAAGCAAAGCGCCACAGACAGACCGAGGAGAGTTAAATTGCCTGCCTGTGTTCACAAAACAGCCACGCCGCTGATGTTCTGGCACAAACTGTACACAAACAAACCGGAGGTCGCACGGTTCAAGAGCGTTTACGGGATGAAAGCAGCGGAAAGGCTGCACACTTTTAACCAGACCTCAACAGAAACCACTGAGTGCTAAGACCCACAAACATGTGTGGGTCACTGTACACTGTTACAAAAACCAACTCAAGCCACTTCACATGGCGCAGTTTGAATAAAGATGGGCCATTATCCGTTTTACTTAAAGTAATATTTTTCATTTTGTTTTCCTTCCATTATTACGAGGGACACAATTAACCCTGTTATGTTCTGTTATACAACAAAGTAAAAGATTGGCATATAGATCTTGCCAAAAATGATTATGAAATTTAGAAAAAGATGTTAAAGATGTTAAAGATGTAATTATTGTTGGAAATATCTTCCAACAAAATAAATACAAAATAAATTGTTGGAGAAGATATTTAGATGCTTTCTGGGTGGGGAATATTTATTTTTTTTAATTTATGTTTATCAATTCATAAATTATTTGAGAGTGGTTAGACAGGAAAGTGGGTAATGAAGACACGCAGCAAAGGTCATCAGGCCGGGACTCGAGCCCGTGACGTTCGTGTCGAGGACTAAGGCCTCCACATGCGAGTTGTGCTTTACCCACGCGCCACCACATCACCCCAGGTGGGAGACATTTCATCAGACTTTTTAACATAGTTTCATTTAGTCTGTGATAAACTACAAACCTTCTTTTCTTATTTGCCCTGAATGGAGGGTGCTTACTTACCTTCTTTAGGCAGCCGTTGGAGAGCCCTCTGTGTGCCAGCCCCGCCTCCAGCTCCAGCATGTCAATGCGTCCGTCTTTGTTGAGGTCCAGCTGTTCAAACAGCTCAGCCCAGTGCTTCCTTCTCTCCTCATCTGGAACAAAATGTTCACCTTCCTGACACTGCACCTTCAGGATCCAAGTCGACCGCTGGGTTGTCATGGCCGGTCGTCACTTGGAGTCAGCTGCAATGCAAGAGCATCAGTTCAACAAGCTTCATAGCGAACAATGAACATTCTTCACACCCGCACACCGAGGCAGCGATGGACTTTTAGACTTGGCTTCTTCACCTAAGGCCCAGAAGGGGAGCCAATGCAGTTGTGCTGAAGGTCTTTTCAATTAAATATTCATGCAGACATAACCAAATGTCTTATTACTGCACATATCAGGCAAGATATTGAAAGATTTCACCAAGAGTACTTGAACAGATGATTCCTTGGGTAGGGATACAACCCTCTCTATGCAACAAGATCTGGAGATGCAAAATCAATGAAGGTCAAAAATAACAAGGGACAAAATATGGAGAATCATACTGGTTGAAACCTTTGAGGTTTTTGTTGTGTTCCTTTCACACCTGAATTCAATTTGTCAAAAAATGTCACAAGGAGGCTCTTTATTTGGAGTTTGATGTATTCAGGTGGTGATTTATGGCATTCATAGCATTTATGAACAGCTCTAACAATTTCTTTTAAAAAGCTGGGCTTCATCTTTGAGTTAATTTCAATTTATTTTATTTATATACCGTCAAAAAAAAAAAAAAGATCCATTTGCAAGACAGCTGATCTAACTCAGTAATCCAGTCACAAAGCCATATTCCTCCTGGACCATACATACTTTCTGTGTTAAGAAAGTACTCATGTACATTTCTGTCAAATATTTTGTCTAGGATAGAAAACACAGAATCAATTAACTACATGTGCTTTTTATGGAAAAATAAAAGTAGGAAAACAATGATGAGTGCAGCAATAGCTGTTTCAGTAACTTCATCCACAACTATGTGATTCTTTCTTTCTCTACTTTCTCTAGAAAGAATAAAAAAACAAGGAGAGAACACATTATAAATGATGTCAGTAGCCCCATCAGTGACTTTTACCAGTAGAATCACAACTAAACACAGGATCACAGGGCCAGGAGTCATTTCTTTGGAAAGCAAAAAAGAGAGTAGGTCAATTTTTGTGAGGGTTCCCTATAAACTATGCCATGTTTATAGGGAACGTTTCAGAAAGAAGAGGTACAAAGTCAGTTGAGGCAAACTTCAGAAGTTCACGTCACGATATTGAGTCTGTTGTTGCATGTCCTTCCCCTCCATTCTCCCTCCCTGCCCATTTCCTGACCGGTTACCGTCAATAAACTCCTCTAACACCACTGAGTCTTCCTGCAGCTTGAAGGTGATGTTTAGCCAACTCTTTGCACTTTGAGGGAAATAAAAAAATGTGTGAGCATAGGGCACCAAAACTGACTCCAGCCCAGAGGCCCAGATTTCCCTAAGTCCGGCCCTGGTAGGCATAGTTTACAAGAATGAAAAACATTTTCCCTGTTGACTGTTTTTTCTTTTTCAACCGGCGAGCATATTTAGGTCCTTACACTTCAGCACCGAAAATATTTCTGCTAATGCACAAATCATCTCTTATTCTGGAATTATGTACAAATTACATGACGATAATAAAGACACATTAGCAATTAAAGTGTATATTTTCAGCTCACAGCTCCACGCACTGACGCAGGCTGCAATGATAATCACGCATAATCTAATCCTCCAGCAGTTATGGAGGCTGTTGGAGTCTAATTATAAAACCCAGCAGACCTCTGCCTCAGCCTGACTCACTGTTTATCTGCACGCCGAGGCGCCGCCGTCCATAGGCGGATGCAGAGGAGGGTCGTGACTGGCGGGAGAAAGCAGCGGCTCCGGAGCTCCGTGTACTGGGGCCAGTTGACGCGGATCCACTACGTCCCAGTGGATCCCGCGGGTTCCCGGTTTAGCCCAGCTGTTCGCTCCGTGCTGGGTGGATTTCCTTCACACGGTTCTGTTCACGAAGCAGGAAGAGGGGAGAGAGAAGCAGTCCGCTGGCGGCCACGGTGTCCGATGAGTGAATGTGGAGGATGTAGAACTGGTTCAAAGCTGCGTGTTCCACTTCTCTCCTCTTCTTTAATGCTTAGCTGACTTATTTCCCTCAAGCATTCACAAGACGCATTCAGATTACTTATAATATTTTTCTTCTTTACCACCAAAACGGTTCCTCTTTTCTTTTATGCGTGCAAACGTTTAGTTCGCCTTTTTCTTTCATTTGTGCAGCACCTGCAACTATTTAGATGCCAAAAAGATATACAGACAATCTCTGCTTAAGCTCTTATCTGAACTAACTAAACACAACATGCACAGATAACATTTCAAAGCTGTAACTGTCAGGACTTTATGTCTTCAGTGCGTTTGCACCGCAGGTTTCAAGTTTCCTCACATGATAGTTGCCATTTCACTCCGGTCGCCCACTTCTCGTAAACAGTGAGGAGGACATCAGCTCCTTTCCTCAGAGGACTGTTAAAGCAGCTTCCCAGTGTCCAACTGGTGCTTTAATGGCACAAATATGAGAACAAGGGCTGCCAGCATTTAGCTGCGTGACAGCGTAGGATAGAACTGGGCAATACTTATATTGAAAATGATTAATTTTATTGTTTTAATATGAAATACCGCCAAACTGTTGATATGACCTTTCTTGTTTTATCCTCAACTTCTTCTTTGGTTGTTTTTCTCGACTTCTCTTTTAACCCTCTTAAGACCATAATTGTAACTGGGGCGCCTGGTATTTTTCTGATTTTATGGCT